CGCCAAGTTTAGCGAACAGGAGAGCTATAGCCTCGCCTATACCGGCACTCGCGCCAGTTACTAGCACTACTTTGTTTGAGAAGTCGTAATCCATGGTGAGCTCCGTATTCGGGTAAAGCGTGCTTACTACCTTAAGTCTCGTCAGTTACTGGCTATTTATATCGAGTACACTGTTTATATATTGAGTACTTATCTTAATCGCGACTGGTGGTTGTCCAGTCATGGTCGGGCTGTCAATGGATAACGGAAAACCAATTATGGTACCTATTACGTATATGCTACCTACAATCAAAATATTGCTAATGAAAATAAATCATATATGTGGTTTGTTTGGTTACATACAATCATACATGTCTTAACTTTTCATTTCCAGCAGTCGACGTCTTTCGGCTGTCGATGTTGATGATGATGATGATGAAGATGATCATTGTTTTAAGATAATAAATTTAATAAAGCGTACGTTGTTTTGTTAACTTATTTAATGATATTATTACATTTTTTTAAATATGTTCATAAATACTCAAACATACATAAAGTTTAAATTTATTTCATTCAATTTGTTTATTTTTATTTCCTTAACTCAGACTTTAATTATAAATAATTAGATCTAGAATCACTTGACATGTGTGACGAGCGTGTTTGACAGGTTGTTGAACCTTAGGCCGCCGTCCACTTCGACGATGGTCCCTGTGACTAGCCTGCTGTGCTCGCTGGCGACGTGAACGATCATCTTGGCGATGTCCTCTCCCACGCACGGGTCACCCATAGGGACATTTTTCTTTGCAATTTCCAACCACTGTTTATACTCGTCGTCCGAGCAATGGATAATATTCTTCAAAAAGTTGGTTATCTAAGAAATGGAAAAATTCATATTATTTAACTTGTTTTTAACAGAATAACCACACACGAGTTCAGTAGTGTCCCATTTTTCAGTACTTACAGTAAGGCCTGGGCTGACTGTGTTAACTCTGACGCCCTTTGGAGCCAGCTCAAGAGACACTAGGCGAGTGAAGTGGTCCAGTGCAGCCTGGAACAAGCCAGTTATATAAAAATCAATATCTTATTAATATTCATATTCCTCATTAATAGAATTTTCAAAATGTAACTGTCCTCACCTTTGCCATGCCGTATGGTAGAGAGCCAACAGCGACAACTGTTCCGGCAATACTGGAGACATTGATGATATTTCCCTTGGTCTCAATGAGGGCTGGCGCCAGCAGCTTGGTGAGCAGGTATACGCCGCGCACGTCGATCCTGAACACGTCGTCGAAGATCTTCATGTCAGTCTCGTGCAGGATGCTAGTGCGTGCACCGATGGCGGCGTTGTTCACCAAGA